AATATATATATATATATATATATTAGTTTGTTTCCATAAAAGGGATATATAACAGAATAGGAAAGACTGGTAGCACATTATAAATGTTATTTGAATTAAAAAGAGAAGCTAAGTTTTCTAATATCTGTGCATTTATTTGACTTTACAAGTGGATTTTAGGACCCTCTATGCATGCACTATCCATAAAGCCTTCTAAGTGTCTACAAAAGAGTTACAGCAAGTCCTCATCTTATGCACTACATTCCCAATAAAGGTGTCTATGCTTTTTCATTTTTATATTGTTATTTACAAAATATATTGACTGAACCATTCAGTCTTGTCATCATCTGATGTTTTTGCTCTTCTTTAACACTAGCCTGAATGTTGCTGCTCTACATTCGAAGTCACAGACCAGACATTCTAGAAGAAACATCAGGAAGTATAGGTTTTCGTATTTTATTTTCTTATTGCACTTTTTTTTTGTTTTTTTTGGCAGAACCTCCATCTGTCACCCAGGCTAAAGTGCAGTGGTGCAACCTTGGCTCACTGCAGCCTCTACCTCTTGGGTTCAAGTGATTCCTCTGCCTCAGCCTCCTCAGTAGCTGGGATTACAGGTGCCCACACCACACCCAGCTAACTTTTTGTATTTTAGTAGAGATGGGGTTTCAGGTGTTGCCCAGGCTGATCTTGAACTCCTGACTTGTGATCCACCCACCTCGGCCTCCCAAAGTGCTGGAATTACAGGCATGAGCCACCATGCCCGGCCTCAACTCTGCTTTTATAATGGGTTAGGCTTAGAAAAACCACCATTGTCATTTGCTTAAAGTCTTGAGTTAAGTTTTTAACATGCTAACAGCAACAGATTTGTGAAAAATCAAACCAAATTTGCAGATAGTGTCATTGTTAGAGTTTATACTGATTCTAATGAAAATATTATTTATACCTCTATTTATGTCTATGTATAGGTGACCTTGTTTGCAAAACTACTCAGAATGGTTGCCAGATATTTTATAGTTATTTTGTTTTTATGGAGATATAACTACTCACAAAGGTCAATATAAATCAACTCTCCTTTTCACCAGGGTCTAATCATATAAAATCATATGGGTAAAACTGAAGATCATTGAAGCATAATAGTCAAAGATGAACCTTATTTAATTAAGTATTTTAAAGTCCCTGTTCTATGTATGAAAGAAAATGTGTATATAAGCCCTCTCCCTCAAATTTGCAAGTGTTTTGTTCTTAAAATGTGTATATATATATACCATCTTCAATTGTCTCAGTATATATGTGTATATGTCATAATGTAAATTAAATCATAATGTAAACACTACCATATATATATGCTGATATATGAATATATGCTGATGTGTGTGTGTGTGTGTGTATATATATATACACATATATATATATATACACATATATATATATATACACATATATATATATATACACATATATATATATACTGAGACAACTGAAGGAGTCCAAAATTCATTTCTGAAGTTTTATAAAATATCTTCAGAAGATAAAGTTACTTTTCTGTCTTTGGTATGTTTAACATTTACATATGACCCTTAATATTTATTTTGAACATCAACAAAAAAAGTGTTATATTAAGAAATTTTGTCTATGCTATAGAATCTATTCATATTTTTAAATGACAAATATAGCAATATATATGTTGGAAAAGCCCGAGTTTAAATACAAATTTTCCTGAAATGAAGTCATTTTCACAGTGATGTGAATTTGCCTGGATAATCTGCACTAATAAAGCAAGAAGCTTAAAGAATAATATCAGTTCATGAACAAATTTGGTTTAATGTGTGTTCTTTTTTTAAATATATTTTATTGCATTTTAGGTTTTGAGGTACATGTGAAGAATTTGTAGGATTGTTGCATAGGTACATAAGTTTAATTTGCACAAATACAGGAATGTTAATATAGATTGACTCAAGTTCAGTTCATGACACCAGCACAAAATGCATAAATACCTTTCTTTACAAAAACAAACTTATCTGTATTAAAAGAGGAACTCCAGATACATAAAAAGGTGCTCAACATTATTAATCATTAGGCATATACAAATCAATTCCACTAACGATACCATTTCATACTCACCAGAATAATTATTATCCAAAAGTCAAAAGATAAATGTTGATAAGAGGATGTGGAGAAAGGGAACTCTTGTACACTATTGATGGGAATGCAAATTGATGTAATCATCGTGGAAACAGTATGAAGGTTTCTAAAGAAACTAGATTTACCATATGACCTGGCAATCCCTCTCCTGAGCTTATAGCCAAAGGAAATAAAATTACCATCTCCTAAAGATATCTACACTCCTATCTTTATTTCAAAATTATTCACAATAGCCAAGATATGAAAACAACCTAAGTGGCAGTCGATGGATTAATGGATGAAGAAACCTTGGTACATGTATACAATGGGATATTATTCAGCCCTGAGAAAGAATGAAATCTTGTCATTTGTCACAACATGGATGACCCTGGAGGACATTCTGCTAAGTGAAATAAGACAGACACAAAAGGAGAAATATTGCATGATCTCTCTTATAGGAGGAATACAAAACAAAAAATGTCAAATATACAGACGGTTTCTGGATTATGATGGTTTGACTCACAATATTTTTACTTTATATTGGTGCAAATGTGATAGATATTTAGTAGAAATTTCATTTTAAATTTTGTATTTTGATATTTTCTGGGCTAACAGTATACAGTACAATAAGACTCTCTGGGCTGTGGCTGGGCAGTGAAGTAACGCTGGCCAGTAGCAGTGAGTCACAACTACCAGTTTGCCCTGTGATCATGAGGCTAAACATCAGGTACTGTATTCTACTGTGTACAGTATTCAATAAATTACATGAGATATCCAACACTTTATTATAAAATAGCCTTTATGAAGGATGACTTTGTCCAGCTGTAGACTAAAATAAGCATTCTGAGCATATGTAAAGTAGGCTAAACTGAACCCCGATGTTTGGGAGGTTGACAGTATTAAATGTACTTTCAATTTAGTATTTTTTCAATTCATGATGGCTTTATTAAGGCATAACTCCATCATAAGCTGAGGAGCATCTGTCCAGAGATAGAAAACCAAACAGTGGTAACCAGGAAAGAAGAGATGCGTAGAAGGAAATGAGATGTGGGGCATAGGATACAAAGTAACAGATATGTAGGATGAACAAGTCTAGAGATCTAATGGTACAACATAGGGACTGGAGGGAATAAAACTGTACTGTATTTGAGATCTATGCTAAATGAGTAGGTTTAGCTGCTCTTGACTCAAAACCAAAACCAAAATAATTGGTAACTATGTGAGATGATGGACATGTTAATTTGCTTGAGTAGGGTAAAGTTTTTACTATATATATACGTATGTGTTTTATAATACCATGTTGTATATCTTAAACATACAGAGCAAAAGTTATTTTAAAAAGAAAATGAAAAGAGAGGCTTCAAAAATGGGATATAACTTTGTGGTCTAATGCGGTTAGCTGATCCTCTGGGAACAACATTAGCATTCTTGAAATGATGCTTGAGCAATTTCCTGATGGACTCTAATGAGCGTGCTAGACCTTCTTGGAAATTCATTCAAAGAAAGTGCATTTTACTAAGATCCTTTAAAGACCTTTAACCAGTATTGCAAGGAATCTAATGACCTTTAAGCAGATGTGTTTTGTTCTTAATGCAGCCTAAAAATTGATATGTAACACTTTTTACTTTCAAGACAAACACCTGCCAAAAGGGGAGCTTTTTCAGTTAGCTTTTACATAATGTCTCTTCAATTTTCGCAAATTTGAAATAAAA